GGGAAAGAGCAGATTCCAAGGTAATAAATGAGAGTGATCATGCTGCTCTCCCTAACAAATGCAGTTCTTCATAAGCATACATCCCTATGCATGTATTAAGATTCAATAGATTCATAGGATTTAGTAGATTCATCTTCTCTAGAAGTATGCCATCACCAAAAGGAATCCTTCCACATTCTAATGAGGTAGGTCTCCAATACAAAAGGTCAAAGGTCTCTCTAAAGACCAAACAGCAACATGCAGAATAGAACCCATTATATAGTTTCACTGACATACAGTTTCTGCTAGGCAGAACCCAAATTTCCTCACATTATCATCAATTCCTGATGATGAAACCAGCAGTGTTATTGGACCGAGATGGAGCTTGGTTATGTACAGCCCAAAAGTTTTCTGAAAAGCTTTCTGGGCAACATTTAGGATTCAGACCTTAGAAATGACTAGGAGTTACTAGGGTTTGGGTAGGGAGAAAAGGAGGTTCTGATCAGTTGATTATACACAGGAGCCTAATTAAAACAATTTTGTCTGCTTAGACTTAGCGGCCTTCATCCTCTATTGCTAACAAGGCCAAGGGCAATGTGCATGGAATCCTGGATTCCTTAGAAATGAGTCAGAGGCAAAGGGTGACTTACAAAGTGGCAATAACCTCTTAGGGGAGGACAGAAAGCAAAAAGAATTTAGTGTTTCCTCTATCCTCTTAACTGCCAGTGCTGAGACCACTATCTGCTGCTTCTCAAAAAACTTCTCTCTGGTGCAAAAGCAACCGCTCTAGCTATCTCTGCACAAAGAGAGAATTTAGATGTCACCATTCCAAAAACCAAAATAACCATCATCCTCAGGGAGAGTATTTCTTTTTTACCAATTGAGTCAGGGACAGACAGCTGTATGAAGCTCTTACCCAATTTTTCAACTACCAGCTGAAAACAGGATACAAGGAAATGGCAATGTTTGAAAATGTGATTTAACTCAAACCTGCTGTCTTGGACAGCTTCTGGAAAAATGAATGAAATCTCTCACAAGGAGTCATGATGACATATGACTATCAGACCAGGAATTCTCTAGCTTCTACAAATCCAAACAGATCTTAAATCTCTATTACCTGCAGCTTTTCCTCCTCCCCATAAGTGGCCAGGAATGGCATCTATTCTAGATTATGAATGTTTGGCTCAAAAAACAATTCAATTGTGCTGAAAACCCAAACTATTCCCCAAACAGGGTTAGAGGATGCTCTACTTCAATTCTAGGCAATCTATTTTGCCAGGCAGGTCACAAATTTAGTCTGCGCCCTCCCCAAGTGCCACTCTGATCCTCTTCCTTTGCCTTCTGCTCAATCTGCCATATGTCACACAGAGACTGACCCTGCCACTTCAGGCACACGTGCCACAGGTTGGTCACCCTGGTCTACTTCATGACAACCTAGCCTAGAGTTAAAGGCTCAAGGCCATGGCAGGCAGGAGCACAGCTGCTGTACAGATGCTTTGCTGACCACAGTCCAGAGAGAGATCTCTGGGAGATTCATGCTAACAACTCATGCAACCACTAATACTGGATCTGACTTATACTTCATCCCATTAACATTACTCTTAAAAGTTAAAAGTGTGGAAGAATCAGCTGACTTGGTACTGGGGGACCCAACACTGCAGCCAGCCAAATAATCTGAAAATTGAATAAACGGTGACAAGTAAATTCTAATTACAATCAGCATCTGATTCTATCAATAACTATTCACTGCAGTTATTTTACCAAAAGTGGTATTTATGGCAGCTTATTTTACACATTTTTAATCTATTTTTTCTAATCTACAACAAAATTACTATAGATAGCGCTATATTACTAATAAAAGCTTTACACTTCACTTGATAGGAAATCAAACAGTTTTTAAACTTATATTTAAAATGAGGACTTCAGACATCATTCTTTTAAAAAGGGATTAATCTTTCTAAACTGCACAACATTGGATGAGAAAAAAAACCATGTGCTTTACTTTTTAAGAAAAATATTCATATATTAACAAAAACAATGCTAAAATACACTGCTATCTGAAGAGCTATTTGGTCCAATTTCTAGATGTTAACCATTAAAGGGTTTGCAAAATCATTTCTTGTTAAGGTGAGGAAATGCACCCTGTTACACAGGGTTTACATGGCTCAAACACCACAGGTATGTGTCAAGTATGTACAGTGTTTAGTTCTTGAATTTACACCATGTAGTGTTTGTCTGAGCAAAAAAAGGACATGCAGGGTGAAATCTTAGCTCCATTAAAGTCAATGAGAAAACTAAAGCAGCTAGGATTTCACCCGAAGTGTTAAAGCACATTTTGGGAACATAAGTAAAGAAGCAGCCATTGTTCCTATAGGTACTTACCTACTAGCCAGACTAAGCAATTCATGTCTATCTGTTACTGCAGATTTCTTTTCCAGCTCCCACAGCATCACATTGATCAGGTATGAATTCTTAATTACAATTGGCACTTCTTCAAACATGTTCTCATATGCAATGCTTGCTTTTTTCAATCTGTGAAGCAAATTTAAAACAGTTGTTTTTTTAAAATAAAACTGGTAATTTCCCCCCCCAGAGTCTCAGTTTTTGTTAAAGCAACAGCAGGTAAGTCTGTACAGTCCTAAATTTCCAAAGGTCTACTAACAGACAACAGTCAGGCCTTTTTGGTACAGAGGCAGTTGCATGGCAAAACTGATATTTATAAATGCCAACAAAAACTGCCCAAAGGAAAATCCCTCAGAATTAAAGCAACTGCTTTGCTCACAAATGTGTTATAAGAATAAACCCTCCAGCAAAAGACAGCACTGGCAAGATTAACCCTGTCCTGTCCAGAATACTTTACCGCTTTCATTACCATCATGTTTTCTTACGTACAAGTGACTAATTATGACCCTGCCATGGAATAGTTTTAATTTCATAACCACTGTATTATATGAAAAACATGGATATTTCTAAGGATAATGCTTTCCCTGGTAGTTGAATATATAACTAAGTGATAATAGATATAGAAAAAAAGATTAACAATGCTTAGGAAATGGTTATATTCTGCAAGCATATTAGAATAAAACTTTCCAATTTACTTTACATTTATTCCCTCCTGCTTTTATTACTGTTTTTAAATAAAGCAGACACCAATACCTTTCAGACTACCAAACAAACATACAATTCACATAGTCTAGGAAAAAATATCTGTCCACATCCTCTTTTTATGCGTATTGAAGAAAACTAAAATGCTTGCTTTCAGTTTTTAGAATTTAAACAGATGACTAGTTTGGTCATTGTGGAAATGTTATCTTGAGACACTGAGCAATGAAGTGATTCAGAGTTTCTGAATGAAATCCATGACAAGTATTGGTCTTTTGATGTCAAAAACTGAAATGATGAAGGGGAAAAGATGTCACACTAACAGCTGCAATGTAAGCAACAACCCTTTGGAAACACTAATTATTCTAGAATAAAAACATGTTTATTCCAGAACAGTATCCACATGGTGGAGTTGTTCTGGAACAGCTCTACCAAAATGCCAACATCAGTCAATTCTACTTATACAGACAAGGTCTTAGAAAGGGAGACCAATTACTTCCTTTTCTCCATCCCCTTAAAGTATTAGTCTCCACGCCCCGTTAAAGCTGTCTTCACAACACTCACCCCATGGCTGGAATGACAGAATACAGCACATCCTTTAAAACATGCGTTAATACTGTCCCCTTCCAAGCTATCAGTAGGGAGGGTGAGTGCAGTATTTTCACCACTGCTCAGCTATTGCCCATGCATCACTGCAATCACATACCTAGTTCCCAGCAAAGTAGAAAGCAGGGTAGATTTGCACCTTATAGGCTCAGTTTGGGGAAGGGCGACAACTCCTTCCCTTCCTTCACCCACACAGAAGCAGGTACTTTGTGAGACAACATTCTTTTAAAATACTTACGCTTCGGGGGAAAAATCTTTCTCTTTGCAAACTTCCATCAGTTTGGGAGTCAGTCTGTATGCCTTTAGTGACAGCGACCCCTGAGCAGTCTTAATGGGATCTAGGAAAAAACAAAACAAAACAGAAGAGGCACATAATTACAAAGATTATTTAACATATGTTTGTTTATTAAAATATTTCTTTGCAGAGCACCTTAACAAGCTATTTTCTGACTAATAAGTATAAATTTCTGATTTCCTTTGCTTAGTTCCATATCTACTACCCAAACAGCTCATATGTAATGGATGCCCCACTGAACAAAGATTGCCTCTCCCAAAAGGACAGCCCTACATATCATGCAACTAAACTGAAAAACATTTATTAAATTACACGGTACAAAAAAAGGATTGAGGATTAGTGACAAGCTAATTCATATTACAGTCTAATTGTTTCAGACAAAAAAGATGATACATTTAAAAAAAATAAATGTCTTGACATACTGTACAGAGTTGAAGAAAAAAAATTTCTAAACAAACTGTTAAATTCCTAGGACAAGGAAGCTTAACACTTGCAGCATAACAGCAGCTACAGCATGCCAACATTAGAAAGAAACTGTTAACATTCATGTTGTCTGAACCTTAACACAGTAAAACTTTGAGCAATCGGTGATAAAATGAAAACCAAAATAGACTGAAACAAGTGGAAAATTCATCAAGGTCTGATGATGCAATGTTTCCAGCCAATATAAGTATACTTTAACAACTTGTTCTTTACTGTAATCCAATTGTTAACATACTGAAACAATTTTGGGGCAGCTCATAAGATTGATCGTATTCATTAGTATTTTTTCTGACAGATACTCAGGACGTTACATTTACTTCTCAGCTGGAAACTATATGCAAGTCTGCCAGATATGGCAAACTGCGAGTGTTTGGGGAGGGTGAGGCTATAAAGCTGTTAAATTGCCTACGGTTCTGATACAGCACAGAACATCTGGTCTGGAGAGCTTGAGGAAACACCATTAAACAGGCAGAAAAGAAAAAAATCTTTGTGCTAAGAAACAGTCCAGGTTTTGTATGCTTCTGTCAGAGGTATAAAAAAAACTTGGCAAATCGTGTTATGATTGGTCAGTCACGTACAGAGCCAGACACTCTAGCAATCGGGGTTTGTTAGACATCTGGTCTAGTTCCACCAGCCCCTTCGACGAGGGAGGGGAGAAGGAGGAATAAAAATGAAGCAGCTACTCCAGCATTCCACAACGTACACATCAGGGCTCTGATAGCAAGAAAAATAAATGGAAAGAAGGAACCCCTGTCTAGACTTAGCTGCTGCTGAGGCTGCTGTAGACACAGGGTTGGTATTTACTTGAAAAGGCCTGCCAGGCTACTCTTACAGGCAAAAGACAGAATACAAAAATAGTAGTAATAATATTAAGAGGGGGAAAAGAATAATAAAGGAAACCTCATACTAACCGTAAATGAGAACTACAGACTCCTCAATTGCGTGTTGGTAACTGAACTGGGAATCCAGGAGGGCACGAGTGACAAAAGAGCCATAGTATGTAGACTGGTACCAGCCAACGTGAAGATGATCAATGTTTACATGGCGAAGGCTTCGCATCATTTCCATTTGGTATTGAACTAGATAAAATCAAAATGCGTGTTAAAAAAGTAAATTTGCACATAATCCCAGCGATTTCTAAAGAGCACTTACGATTAAAACAATCTTTTAAAACAAGTTACAGTTTTCACTGCTTTAAAGTTAGATTTGTGCATTTCAGCCACTATTTAGCACAAAGAACACTAACGTGAAAAATTGGAACTTGACACAAGGTTGAAGTAAAGTTTGATTCATAAGGAACCACTTTTCTCATGTTGTGTTTCTTGCTAAACTTACCAGTAAACTGCTACATATGGTTTATTGTAGTTGCTAACTTATATAAAAATGCTGGTATCTACAGCTCATTGAAAAACAACATATTTCTGTTTAACAGACTATTATTAAACTATTTAATAGAATAGAATATAAATGCAAATCAAGTTCTAATGAAGTCAGGAATTAGAAAAACTTTAGAAACATAGCTTAATCTGAATGTAAATACAAAGAGAATGCACTGATTATATATAGTCAGACATTGGTAGGAATACACAAAGCAGTTCTGTCTCCCATTTGGAAGTCCCTACTTAACTGCCAGAGTTAGTTTGATTCATCTTTAATTTTTCAATCCTTTTTCTTTTGTATTGGTACAATATCTAAGCGAGAGATGGGGGAAGTTAAAGAAGAGAAAAGAACTTTTTGTCAGATTTATTATACTACCAGCCATATTTTCTTGCAATTAAAATGAGTAAATTTTTTTTTTTTTATTAAATTCAATAAACAGCCTGCTTTCTAGAAAAACGGTGCATAACGGCAATGCTTAATTTGATGTAAACAGATCATTTAATCATTCCTCAGACATTGTGAACAGACAAGAGGCAGTGACAATTTAAATCAGTAGATATATTTTGAGACCATTTCATGAACTGACGCTAATAGTTAATAAGAAATGATATCTAACAAGCAAATCTTTTAAAGCAAAATTTACTATCCAACAGTTCAAAAATGTACCACTTTTACAAAATACCCCTTCATACATAAAAAAAAAAAAAAAAGAAAATGCAGCTGTAAAGAAGAAAACTACAAGTTAGCTAGAGAAAAAGATAAAATGTGCCTCTCATTTCTTGAAACCTGAATTTCTGTCCATTCCAGGAAGAAAAGAAATCCAAGTATATTCTCTAAAGATATTAACAGACATTTCTCAGAAGCGAACAAATATTTCTGCAGCTTACCATACAGCAAACACAAGCTAAATTCCACAGACAGCTTTGGCCCGAAGGTCCAAAAACCAAGTGGCTACACCTCATTACATGTTGCAATGGTCAAAATTAACTTAATAATATAATTAATACCTAAATACTCTCTTTCAGAAAATAAAAGCTCTGCAGCTCTAACTGGTTGAGAACTTTACTTTTATACCCAAGTGCACACTCGGTGAGTTCTAAAATAGGGATCCGGGTTTTCCGTTTTCCACAGAAAAATGGAAAAACCACGGATTTCCCCTTTTACCTGAGATAAATAAGGATTTTTTTTTTTTTTTAATTTTAATGGAGAAACACAGATGTTGCAGTTTTGCAAAGCGCTCTCTGTGGGCTAGCAGAGTTCCAGCCTGCAAGGGGTTGGGGCTGGGAGGGTGGGCAGGCAGGGGACACCATGTACATCTATATGCACATGGCCACCAGGCAGCCTGGAGAGCAGCTCCCACAGGTAAGTCAGGTGAGGGGGGAAGGAGCGGGCATTGAGGCCACCATAGGGAGAGAGGGAGGGAGTTGGGGATGACTGGGGCAGGGGCTACTGCCTAGCCGGATGGTGCTTGGGGCTGGAAAATGCAGCCCATAGGGCCCCAATGGGGAGCAGGATGGGGCCGTGGGCAGCTCATCCGGGGTGGGGGGCTCCCTGGCCCTGGCTTGGTCTCCATGCCCTGCCCTGCCCCCGGGGTCTCCGCAGCCCAGAGGGCAGGACCCAGCACAGCAGAGCAGAGCAGGGCTGGGTGGGGAAGCTCCTTGCTGCTGCGAGCCTCACATTGTCCCCTTCCCACCTGGCAACAGAGATGGGCACAACCCCGCGCCACTACTCTCACTGCTGCCGGGTGCGGAGACCCCTCATCAGGGCAATGTGTCTACAGCGGCAAGGAGCTTTCCCACCCAGGCCCACTCGCTGCCCTGTTGCACCTGGTCCCACCCGCTGGGCTCTGCAGGCCCCAGGGGAGGGCAGCCAGACAGGGAGCCTGAGCACACAGCAACCCCCCCCCCCCCCCCCCGCCACAGCCTCCACTCTGGCCATGTCTCCCATGGGGGTGGGGAAGCTGGGCTCTGCACTCCACTACGTAGCAGCAGCCACCCCCTCCTACAAGCTGCAGCTGGGGCTTGGGCACTGTTGTGGGCGGGGGGGGCAGAGAGCTGCAGGCGCAGGTCCCTGGCCCTGTAGCCCTGGCAGCTGGAGGCCCCCCTCCATCAGGGGTAGCGAGGTGGGCCTGGATCTGTATTCTGCGAGCTAAGGGGGAACGAGGAGTTCTGATTTTCCATGATACAAAACCCAAAATCAAATACCAAAACGTATAGGTATCTAGAATTTATTTCACTATAGTTATTGAGGCACTGGTAGGGCTTCCATATTGTTTAAAATTGTAAATATTTCAATAAAACACTGTGTTAAGTTCTCACACGCACACAAATATATATATGCATGTTTCATTTTAATCATGGATTTGGGATGGTATCAAAAGATTTGCTATGTTTAAGCAGAGAAAACCAGGATCCCTGGTTATAAATAACACACAGTAAGTTACATTCCATTTCCTAGTGGTGGTGCTTCAAGTAATGTATGATGTAGGCACCCCCAGTATCCCCAAAGCCCAAATACGATGTTCCTAAAATTGGCATGGCAGGTTCTGGAGACAACCTCATGTCACCATCTGCAAATCCCCCATACTGGTTCAGAACATATGTAAAGTTCTGACCCTCTTGCGTGATTTAAAAAATTAGTAAATACCACCACAGAGAACGTGATGGCAAAGCAGTAAGTGCACACAGAGAATAAGGAGGAATAGAAAAGGAAAATGAGAGCTATTCATTACTCAAATATTGTGCAGTATTTCACTGCTTTTTAGTTTTTAAAGAAATGGAAAAAGTGCCATATCTTTATGTTATCATACTTGGCTTAATTCTCAGCCATTGCACTGAAGGAAATTGGAAGCATTTTCTCTTGCATGGTCCTGCATGTATAGTTTCTCTCACCAGAAGCATACCTGGATATTTCTGCACCCTGGGTGGTGGAGGGGAGCAGAGCAGCGTCAGAGGTAGTAGCAGCGGCTGGGCGTTAGTATGGAACAATACAATGATTACCCATCGAAAAAGGTTCCTATGAAAGATCTACACTCAAACCTTTCTATTTGGGCCCAGCATTAGAGGCAAGGCCCAAGGAACGCATTCCTTATTTTTCACAACCTCTTCAGTCAAAACCTGGAAGCTAATGGTTAATTACATCAAGAAAGCAATGTTTTTCAAGGTTTTAAAAAGAAGATGGAAAGCAATGCTTCTCGAAAGACAGGGATGAAAGCAGTGTCCCCTAGAAGCATGGAAGGAAGGAAAAGTGAAAGTACCCATTGCCAGCTCCCCAGATATTCAAGTCACCAACTTCTTCCACCAGTATTTTTAACAGTTAAATGATAATGACGGCAACATGCATGCCGGGTGGAAAAGTCTTGATAAAGCATCCAAAGCTAGCACTTCTGCCTCTGGAAAATAACTAAAGCAATAAAACCATGGTGAGGTCCACTTCGGAAAGAAACAGAAACTTTTTTTTTTGTTGCCAATCAGACAAAGTACTTCAGAAGACTTAGCAGCAGCTACAGTTCCAACAAATCCAACAGGTTTCTTAGCAAATAAACCCTGAACTGTCTGCACTGATATAAATCACCATTTTTTCACACTGCAGTCCTTACTGTAAAAGGTACAGCTTCCTTATATACAGACTATTTGCATTTATTCCCACATTTGTTAAAGCTTAGGGAAGTCACTCTACTACGCTAATCGGGTATTCACGACTTGGAACAAGGCGATTTGGGTGCGTGCATTCTCCTACTCCGCAAAGCAGAATGTAAATAATGCCCTTTCCTCAAACCATGCTACTGACGTGAGTGTCCACAGTTATTAGTGACTATTACAAATGACTTTTTAGGGATCAGCTGCAGACAACTGGAATAAGTTATCCATTTCCCCAAAACATAACACATACATTGTCTATTTGAAAGCGCTTTGCCAAACTGAAATAAATATTGTGACTCCTCCTCTGATATTTCGTTCACATATCGGTGAAGTGCTAACTGCTGGATTAAGAATGCATGATCGCTGTCTCCTGGGACTTTCACAAACATGAGGTCTGTATCTCACGAGGCTGCGGGGAAGATTTTTAAATATCAGAAAGGCCTAGCTTCTGTTCTTGCTGAATGATCAAGAACTAGAAAGTTCTCTCTTACTCCTTGAACACTGCCAGCTTTCTAAAAGTTAGTGAAAAGCAAATTTTGTACGGCAATAAGAAAGGACTGAAAGCCTTTATTTGACTGAGACAGAGGAAACACTGAAGAATACTTACAGAACAGCAAAAGAAAGTGCAAAACCATACAGCAGGACGGCCTTGAATTTGACTAGTATTGTCATTCTGTGTACTACCAGGTGAATGAAGACTGATTCCTCAATTCCAGATTAACAACAGCTCAAACAACAGAAAGCATTTTGCAAGGAGTGTTTCTGCTGGATTAAACTACAATTCAACAATTTGGTTTAAATAGATTTAAAGAAAACAGAACACTTTACATTAACAAAGTACTTTTCATTCAAGCAACGCTTTGTAACATTAGAGGCATCAAACAAACCGTAATAACCACCAAGGATGAACTCCATTTGACAGACGGGGAAATAGAAGGTCAGTAATATGTCCAGAATGCTTGATAAAAACTAAGAATAGAGCCAAGTCTATTGAATAGGGACTTTCAACATCAGGCTGGGACAGTTTGACCACATTTCCTCTATTCAATTTTCAAGCT